TGAACATAGAAAATAACTTAGAACTGACATTAAGAATACTCAATTCATCTTCGAATAATTATCTACAAAAGTAACAAAATACTTGAACCCTGAATAAGAAGAAATATGAATAGGACCTTAAATATCAGAATGAATTATTTCAAATAAACTAGTGACACGATGACAATCTTTGGGAGTAAATGAACTTCGAATATGTTTACCAAACTGAAATGACTCACAATCTAAAGATGACAACTAACGCAATTGAGGAACTAACTACTGAAGACTTCGCAAAGATGGGGAGCACAGACGGGTTCTAGTTCTGATTTTAAACCTGGGAGGAAGAGCAACCACTAACTCTTCACACATCTTTTTCTNGCGTTAGAAAAGAAAGGAACAAACTCGAAGAATGGAACATCAACACAGACAAACGGACGACGAAAGGTCGGATTATAGCACTTATACCCTTTATGTGTGCGAGAATTACCCAAAAAAACGTGCTTGATAGATTTAGGATCAAGTTTGTCTATGCCTGGACAACTAGTGAACAAAAGCTACACAACCAAAGACATGTGGTGGAATAAAAAATAAAGGATGATCAGGGAATAAAACTTGGTAAGGAATTTGACCATTAAGAACAAACGATGGCATAAGATTAATCATGTAACACACAGTAAGTATAACATCACTTCAACAAACTTTAGGTACTTTAATATGAAACAGTAGGGCACGAGCAACTTTAATAAGGTGATGGTTTTTGCATTCACCCATCCCATTTTGTTGTGGGGTACCACTGCACCATAGTTTTAAAACCCATCCTGGACATCAATCCGGTGAAGGGACTGGGTCAATGAGTCACTGGTTCAACCGTTGGGTCATTGGTCGGACCGGTAATATAATAAAAACTTAAAAAATAATTATAAATAATAATAAATAGGTTAAAAAATCACAATAATTTTAAAAATAACATCAAACATATAAAGTTAAGTAGAGAAAAATTATCAAATATGTATCCAATTTCAATGTATTCAATTTTTAATACTACTTGTAAAGTTAAGTAGAGAAAAATACTTCTATTGAAGTTCAAGACTCCAAGTCTAATTCCAACTCTTCGACAGTGTATCAATCTAAGCATAATTCATATAGTTTGCACTCTTCAAAGTTCAAACTGTAGTAAGCATGACACATGAGATTGCCAACAACTTTACTTGTATATCTTCAGAACCAACTGATTTGGTGACCTGTTATCCCGTGCTGTAGTTCTTATTTCAAGCTTGTTGCATCCTATATTTGTTGTAATGGACTTATAGAATTCTGAACAATGCTCAAGCTGCTGGTTGGAATTTCTACAATCAGCCAAACCAATTCCATCAAAAGGCAAAAACAACTCTATTCAAACCAAAGAGGGTGGCATTAATGACAACTACTTGTAAAGTTAAGTAGAGAAAAATACTTCTATTGAAGTTCAAGACTCCAAGTCTAATTCCAACTCTTCGACAGTGTATCAATCTAAGCATAATTCATATAGTTTGCACTCTTCAAAGTTCAAACTGTAGTAAGCATGACACATGAGATTGCCAACAACTTTACTTGTATATCTTCAGAACCAACTGATTTGGTGACCTGTTATCCCGTGCTGTAGTTCTTATTTCAAGCTTGTTGCATCCTATATTTGTTGTAATGGACTTATAGAATTCTGAACAATGCTCAAGCTGCTGGTTGGAATTTCTACAATCAGCCAAACCAATTCCATCAAAAGGCAAAAACAACTCTATTCAAACCAAAGAGGGTGGCATTAATGACAACTACTTGTAAAGTTAAGTAGAGAAAAATACTTCTATTGAAGTTCAAGACTCCAAGTCTAATTCCAACTCTTCGACAGTGTATCAATCTAAGCATAATTCATATAGTTTGCACTCTTCAAAGTTCAAACTGTAGTAAGCATGACACATGAGATTGCCAACAACTTTACTTGTATATCTTCAGAACCAACTGATTTGGTGACCTGTTATCCCGTGCTGTAGTTCTTATTTCAAGCTTGTTGCATCCTATATTTGTTGTAATGGACTTATAGAATTCTGAACAATGCTCAAGCTGCTGGTTGGAATTTCTACAATCAGCCAAACCAATTCCATCAAAAGGCAAAAACAACTCTATTCAAACCAAAGAGGGTGGCATTAATGACAACTACATAATCAAAATTAAACAGAAAAACTGAAACACAAAAGATTAACTAAAAAACGATCAGTACAGCCACTTGAATCAAAACCACCAATCCATGACGGACACATTTTACTACCTTGACGAAACAGGGTTCAAATACACCCATTATCTCGACCATTCTATTGTCAATCTCATACCCACTGGAAGTTGATGGATTGAAGCGCAAAAGAGACAAAGAAAAAGGGGGGGGGGAGAGAGATAGAGAGAGGGGGAAACTCACTGGACTGGAGGCTGGTCAGTCGTTGGTGGTGGAGGTTGATCAATCGTTGGTGGTGGAGGTGGATCGCTACTGATCGTTGGTCGTTGGATGATCGCTGCTGGAGTGGAGCCTGTGGTTGTTGGTCTGGATCGCTGGTCTGGAACGATTTAGGGCAAAACAAAAGGGTAAAAAACAGAAAATGCCCAAAAGATGAAAAAAATCTCACATTTATACAAATAAAATTAAACCGGCCGGTTTGGTAAACTCGTCCGGTTCTCACGGGTTTATTGGTTTTTTGACTGGTTCAACGGGTTTATCCTGGGTTCTTTACATAAACGGTCTTTTAATAGAACCGGCCCGGTTAGGGGACTGGTTCATTGGGGCGGGTTGGGTTTTAAAGCACTGCACTACACGAAGTGCGATAGTGTACAGTGACAAAATTACAACATGGGTGAGAAAGATATTCTTTTGCATTATTAGATTGTAAAATGTGCACAGACATTCCAAATTGAGTCTTAATTTCCATGACAAAGACTTTGAACATAGAAAATAACTTAGAACTGACATTAAGAATACTCAATTCATCTTCGAATAATTATCTACAAAAGTAACAAAATACTTGAACCCTGAATAAGAAGAAATATGAATAGGACCTTAAATATCAGAATGAATTATTTCAAATAAACTAGTGACACGATGACAATCTTTGGGAGTAAATGAAATTCGAATATGTTTACCAAACTGAAATGACTCACAATCTAAAGATGACAACTAACGCAATTGAGGAACTAACTACTGAAGACTTCGCAAAGATGGGGAGCACAGACGGGTTCTAGTTCTGATTTTAAACCTGGGAGGAAGAGCAGCCACTAACTCTTCACACATCTTTTTCTAGACTTTTAAATCAGTAGAGTAGGGCTTATAAGCATTTAGATTATTCATGATATTTTGCAAGGCAGAATAGTACTTTTCAGTGCTCTTATCAACCTGCTCCAAGCTAAACAAATCTTGAAACAACCCATAAATTCTGATAATATTATGTTCTCCTGAAAACAAATGACTAACCGCAAGCCATACCTCCTTAGCAGTGTCTAGAGCGGTAAGATGAATACTAATCCGAGTTTCCATGCTATTCCATCAAAGTCATCACTTGTGCATTCTCTACCTTCCATTGTTTAAACTTGGCATCAGATTCACTAGGCTTATCGTTGGTAAGATATTCAACTTTACGGAGCATGCAGAATTTTGACAAACCATGGCTGAACCAACGTTGGATGGACTTGAACAGGTCTAAAATGGGCAGAACTGGCCTCAAACATACCTGAACCGGTCTGGAATAGGTCTGGACTAGCCTCAGATGTGATGAACAGGTCTGATTTGAGACTGAACCAGACTGTACAAGATCTGAACCGACCAGTAGAACCGGATGATTTGGGCTGAACCTACTGTGTTGGGCTTGGATCTGAAACAGCAGACTTGAGTTTGGACTTGGCTGAACCAACCTGGGTCGAACCAACCCGTACTGAACCAACTGATCTGTGTTGGGCTTGGACTAAAACAGACTATGGGGTTTGTAGAACTGGATTTGGGCTTTGTAGAACTGGGCCATGAATTAAATGATGTGATGGATCCAATACCTGTAAACCTGACCTGACTAAACTCAGATCCTTTCTTCCACTACGGATGTCTGACTGAAACTCGACCATTGTCAACAAAACCCGATTGAACCAATAACAATTTCGACTTGATTCCACCACTCATCTCTCATCAATTAATCTCCAATAGCATCTCAAACACCACTATGATATGTTGAATCTCCGGTGACTAGATGGTTATGACGAACAAGGACTCCACTTTAACGATGGCAACTTTGGCTGGATACGTCGACAATGAATCTTTTGAGGGCTACACAGTTGCCTGCTTTGATACCATAAAGGGTATATTTTTGTGTGTGTGTGTGTGTGAGAGAGAGAGAGAGAGAGAGAGAGAGAGAGAGAGNCGACAATGAATCTTTTGAGGGCTACACAGTTGCCTGCTTTGATACCATAAAGGGTATATTTTTGTGTGTGTGTGTGTGTGTGAGAGAGAGAGAGAGAGAGAGAGAGAGAATAGGGCATAGAAGACGAAATTTGATTGACTAAAAAGAGATATAGGTACACATGTGGGTATAGGGTAATGATGCTATTACCCCTCATTCATAACAGTTTGCAGCCACAAGTGGCATTTTGTTTGAATTATGATTCAATTTGGAACTCTTATTGGAAATATAACATAAATATAACTTAACTATGTGTATAAGTGTATGATTGTATATAATGTCATGTAGTAATGAAAGTGATCCGGATATTGGTTGCAACTTGATCCACTTCCCAAAAGTGTATTTAAGTCTATTTCTATTGCACTGCATATCAAAAAAATATATTATTGTGTTCCTGAACTTGTACCACATACCATATCAGCCCATGATCCAGGCACATTGGCTCTGACAGTCTATATATTATTCCATATACATATAGTACATTTATTTCAACTTCTGGATGTTTGATGCTCATTCATGTGCTATGGCAATGTTTTGCCATGATCTATGACAATGATTGACATGCAGCCGAGGACAAAAGATAGAACATCTTCATTGGAGGAGCTGCGGCTTAGATACTTTACTCCAAGGGAGGTATGTAAATATATGTAATCTTCAGCAGACTTTTGTTTATTGTTGGTTGTTTATGTGGATTCTCAAGGGAGTTTATTTTCTATTACACTTAGGTTGCCAATATGCATTCTTTTCCAGAGGATTTTCAGTTTCCAAAACACATAAGCCTTCGACAGCGGTATGCTGATTTTCTTTGCATTTATATTTCTAGCAGTAAATATGAATAGCATTAGCTTTATGAAGATTGGTCAAATTAGTGATTTGACAGTTGATAATTTTGTTAGNATGCTGATTTTCTTTGCATTTATATTTCTAGCAGTAAATATGAATAGGATTAGCTTTATGAAGATTGGTCAAATTAGTGATTTGACAGTTGATAATTTTGTTAGCTAGATACTATACTGGACCCTTGCCTTCTTATCTTTACTTATATAACCGATTTAACAAATTAATGAACAGATATCTACATTTCTGGCATAGTTCACAACCCTATAGATCTTTTGCCTCCTAATAGACTCACTGAAATCTTCTACGGACTGTCTGGTTTGAACTTCTGACATCTTGTGTCAGTCATGTTTTGAGAGATATTACAATAACAGTTTGTTCGCTAATGCAATTAAAAAGGTTATATGCTGACATCTTAGTTTTTTCTCCTCATATTAAATATTAAGGATTGGCAATGGTACATGGGCCTTCCCTTTTTTCTTTTCTGACCCGGAGGCTCTTTTTAAACTGTTTGCTTAAGATCAATAGTCACTTCAAAAAAATGTCATTGTTGCCATTATTAGTTGTAGATGGCATACTGTTTTCATTTAGAAGAATGCCTGCATTACTTGCAGGTTGGGCTAGAGGTGTGTAAAAGTGTATTTGGAGTCAAACTTCAGGATTCCATTTCTAGTGTGACTTGGTCTTCACTGACTGAATGGCTTAGATCCCCGTCTGCCCACTCACTAAGTGGTTGAGTACCTTGGCCTTCGAACCAAATCCAAAAAAGGCCTAGATGCTTTCACTTTTATGGATTCCAATTTGTTTTTCTTCTTCTATACAGTTAAAGCTCTCTGGTCATGTCTTCATGCTGGTAAAACTACATATACATGTGTCTTGAGTTAAAACTCCCCATATTCCGTGTATCTGTATTTGTACGTGACGAAAATTCTGATTCACAGGCTCTGTTACAATTTTCTGCCAGTCCAACAGTTGAAATTTTGACATCACCAACAGTGACACAATGTTCCTAAAAAATTAAGAAGATTGTTTTTTTGTGCGCCCCCGCCCTTGCTTATTTATTTAGTAAATAAATAGACATAGGGTTTGTTGTAATATAAACACTAATGCTCTTGTTGCTAATCCTTCATTGGGTTTTGACTTTATCCACCTTGGATCTTGTGTTGAAAATTAAAACGGGACTTGTTACTTATGTGGAAACATTATTTGAATACAGTTTTTATCTTTTGTGCCACAACTGGGTTTTAGCAGGCAGAGCAGTGGGGGTTAGTCAAATATTCATGGGACTGTGTGAGACCTCACTGCTGCCGTCAAAAGCACCCTTTGAGTTCAAGAAACTTTTTCCTTTAGAAAAGAGAGTCATGCATCCTAAATCCAATTTTGATTCTTCTATGTTAACCAAAGCAAAATCAATTGAGGCAGTTAAGTATCTAAATCATATATACCTTAATCTAAGTTTTGAAGGAGAAATGCGAGTTTGTAGCTTGGACTAATAGCTTTGCCTTTGGTAGCTTTATATTTTCATTGTTTTTCTCTACAGTTATGCATTGCTGGGGAACAGTTTAAGCGTGGCAGTGGTTGCTCCATTACTCCAATATTTATTCGCGGAACCATTATGACTATTGGATCAGGATCTCCACGAATACCAATGTTTCCCACTGTAGATGCATATCGGTTGCTCTTCGTCCTTGCAGGGGAACTCTTTGGTGCGACTAATCTGTTATTATTATTGTATTTCAGAAGTTTTTATAGTTCATTTGGGAATCATCGATTCCAATCCTGCCACTCATATATTTGACTAAAATTAATTATCGTGGCATACTACTTTAGGAATCATTATTGTATGAAACTCTTGTTTTAATAATTTTTGGTATAGGCAACTTGGCATTAATTAATTCTTGTTTGTATTTAGTTTTGCACCCCTCTTTTGCTAGTAGTAAAACCAAATTAAAATCCATATTCCATACCTCCCTCCCAAAGCCTTTTATTTTCATAATATGTATCTACTTAAAACAGTGGACCTTCCTTCCAATAGCCTATTTCTGTGCTGACCAAATTTAAATACATTTGTTGTGAGATCAGCTACGAATCTTAAAGCAGTACATTGCACTTGGTGGAATGGCTTTAGCTAAGNCCCCATCTCCAACATAAATTTGGTGTTTAGTCGAAGTTTATGACAAGTCAATTTCAAATATATAAAGAAAGCACAAGGATATATATATATATATATATATATATNTCTCCACGAATACCAATGTTTCCCACTGTAGATGCATATCGGTTGCTCTTCTCTTCGTCCTTGCAGGGGAACCCTTTGGTGCGACTAATCTGTTATTATTATTGTATTTCAGAAGTTTTTATAGTTCATTTGGGAATCATCGATTCCAATCCTGCCACTCATATATTTGACTAAAATTAATTATCGTGGCATACTACTTTAGGAATCATTATTGTATGAAACTCTTGTTTTAATAATTTTTGGTATAGGCAACTTGGCATTAATTAATTCTTGTTTGTATTTAGTTTTGCACCCCTCTTTTGCTAGTAGTAAAACCAAATTAAAATCCATATTCCATACCTCCCTCCCAAAGCCTTTTATTTTCATAATATGTATCTACTTAAAACAGTGGACCTTCCTTCCAATAGCCTATTTCTGTGCTGACCAAATTTAAATACATTTGTTGTGAGATCAGCTACGAATCTTAAAGCAGTACATTGCACTTGGTGGAATGGCTTTAGCTAAGGATAACTTGTGTCTCAAGGCACGGCACGGTATATTATGAATAATAGTTTTGATAGGGATATTTGAGACCGTCAAATAAATTTATTGGAACTTGTCTTGTTTTATATTATAGATAATGCATGTAATAATTCAATATATATGAAATTAATTCAGTTAATTAAACAATTTATATAATAAAATAGTAAGCTTTTGAAACACAAAGAAGAAGAATGGCTTGGATCGCTTACATCCAACAACTAATCTTATAATTTAAGCATGATAAATTTGATAACCATTAACTATTTTTTCATTTAATCTCTCTTACATTGTAACCATTTATTTACATTTTAATCAAATTGAAAGTAAAAGCACACACTTGCCTTGCATTATACGGTTAACTCTAGTTAAATAATAATAAATCTAGGGGGGTTCAATTTAAGAAATGGACCAACAAGAACCCATCAAATGATACTCTTCCAAACAGCAACGACGTGATTCGCAGGCAACTCCATCTCCAACATAAAATTTGGTGTTTAGTCGAAGTTTATGACAAGTCAATTTCAAATATATAAAGAAAGCACAAGGATATATATATATTAAAAAATGAAAAGTCAAATTTGGAGCCTAAGAACGGCAATTTTTATCAGATGTGTTGATCATTGTCATCATACAAATTTTATGTTGTATGAACAAAGATCAAAATACCATTTTCGAAATGATCAAAACGTTTTTGTTTAAAATGAGAGTGAAATAAATCATTGATTGAATCAAAATTCTAGTACTTCGATGTATTTCGAAATGTTTTGAGTTGTTTCAAAATATTTTTAACATATTTTTACTATTGTTTTAAAATGTTTCGAGGTATTTTACAATATTTAGATATATTTAGTCTAATGTTTTGAAATATTTTGAAAATAAATTCATAAATTTTTTATCCATTTTCATTATATTTTCAAAATATTTACATTTCTTAATAACTGAAACAAAATGCACTGAAATAATATTTTAATCATTGTTTACGAGAATGCAAGGAAAAATAGGACTACCTTTGGGAGTAAGTAACCATAAGTAGACGAACGAATTGTAGTAAATGATTTAACCTTNCATTGTTTACGAGAATGCAAGGAAAAATAGGACTAATTTGGGAGTAAGTAACCATAAGTAGACGAACGAATTGTAGTAAATGATTTAACCTTCTTTAAAATTAAATTTTGTCTCCATAGTTTGGTTTTTTCCCCCTCTTTGGTGACTATATCCACCATTTATTTGATAAGAGATAAAATTTTATTCGACTTCTGGTTGAACCCTATTTTTTCGGGTAACCAATGAACATGTTACAGANTTCCCCCTCTTTGGTGACTATATCCACCATTTATTTGATAAGAGATAAAATTCTATTCGACTTCTGGTTGAACCCTATTTTTTCGGGTAACCAATGAACATGTTACAGAAAAACCATTAGTAAAAAATGAAACTCTATCCCCATTTTTCACTCCACACAAGTTAACTTTGTTTTTTTTTGTTTTTTTTTTTATCAAAAAACTATAGTATCACAATAGTATTGTGCGGAAAAATAATTAGATTATTGATTTTGATTTGAATGATCTCTAATGTTGATAAAAAAAAATTTAAAATTAAAAAGTGTATATGTGACACATTTTCAGCAGTTAAAAAGTGAAAGTATGATACGGAAAAATACATTTTGACACCATAACAATCCTCCGTTTCGCCCAACATAATTTTTTCTCTAGAAAGAAAAAATTAAGAATGCGTCACATTTTTTTATCATTTTATAATTTGTACTTACATTTCTAATTTAGATCTATGTTATTTGGTTAAAGAACTAAACTAACCCAAAAGATAATATAATATGTGTTCAGTCAGTTTTTTTTTCTCGAAACATGATTTGATGTTAATGTCCAAAAGGGTTTTGCATTTGTTTCATTACAAAAACTTCCACCATGCATTGATCTAAATTAGAAAAATGATTTTGTTTACGACCATAGGATTTATGTTAATGAGACGTAAATGACTTGTAACTTGTTCGCGTTTACTCAAAACAAAACAAGTTATCATTTCAGACGAAAAACCTTATAACTTCTTTCAAATCGATAAAATTAATAGTTGTTGATGTGTAACCTGTCCATTGATTTTCTGGAGAAGTTGAATTCAACAGGAAGTCGGATAAAATGTTATCTCGTTTGATAAAGGGGACAAGCGTTTACATTTTTCAAGATTTTAGAGGATGAAAACTCAGTGTGAATTGATTTAATGCGTAGTACTTCTTTATGTGTCAAAAATAAAATGTGTCATATTATCTTTTTGATATCAAAATTTATTGTAATGTGTCCCAGTAGATATGCGTAAGTCAATTTGTACACATTGCATTAGTTTAATAAACTTAAGGTATAATTTGAGATCTTCAATTTTAACAGATCAAATTCGAATTAGTTATACATGTAACTAATCCAAACAAAAATAAAGAAAGTGTTGACAAATCTTTTATAAATAATCACTCTTTACGTAACTTGGCCCAAGCTTTGACTATGCCTAAATAATATCAATAATTAGATTTCCATGCTTTTATCGGTTATGCTTTTCTTGATTGGGACCAAAATTCATCTGTAAATTACGATCGCAAGAACAAGTTTTCTTTTCCAACAATACGTTATACATAAAACTTGGTTTGGCTAGGCGGGTTTGATTTGGGTTTTGGCCAATACGGGCTCAAATTTATAAAATTGGAGCCTAAAGTATTGTCCACATAAAGTCACAAGTTGNTTTGTAAATTACGATCGCAAGAACAAGTTTTATTTTCCAACAATACGTTATACATAAAACTTGGTTTGGCTAGGCGGGTTTGATTTGGGTTTTGGCCAATGCAGGCTCAAATTTATAAAATTGGAGCCTAAAGTATTGTCCACATAAAGTCACAAGTTGTATTTAAATCCGAAAATCAATCTCTCAAAAATAAATATAAGATTGTTTACTATTTATCACTCAATTGGCGCTATAGGCAGGAGACGAGCAATTTTTTTTTTAATCTAAAAAGACTAAATAGCTAATAAATCCTAATTTTTCCCATTTATTTTGGTGAAGTACATAACCATTCAATAAACTCACACTTCTATGAGATATATAATATCATCCCCACAGAGGTATAGTAGTAATTTTCATTAGTACATATGCTAAATTGAAACCAAAACCTCCATGCTTCACTTACAACAGCAAAAATATTCTTAGTATGACCAAATATAATCCAACCATTTTAGCATTTCTTAATAAACTCAGGTTCTTCACACAAGCCTACGAGGGTTCCGAACACTCAACAGCTTCACATCATCAACAACAGGGCCACAAAGTGATGCAAAATCATCGCTTCTCATGTGGTAGAAGGTGCTGAGGAACATGATCCTAGTTCTTGCAGAGATAGCCACAAAACGAAGCACAGCGCGCTTATACCCACCTTTGCCCTTGGACTCATAAGGAACCTTAATAGTGTCTCTTCCAGCAAAGGCTTCAACAATCATGGACCCTTCACAAGAGTTGCTAGCATCTCCCACTGCAAATGAGAGTTCATAGGTTTTGCCAGTGATGGTCCGAACGACTTGAGCAATGGCGCTTTCTTTTCCGGCCACAAGTTCCACAGCTCTTTGACCCTCCGGTACTGAGAAATGGTCCAAGTCTATATATTTTACAGCTTTCAGGGATTCAACCATCCAACCGGGGATTGGCGAGTGATCATCCTCGATGTTTGGGGGGACAAGAGTACCCCAAGAAGTGTTGGGGAGAATATATGGACCTTCTTCGTAACCCCCGTTTTTGATCAAGTTCACTGAAATAAGTCAAAAGAACAAAATATGTCACAGTATACAAATACTTAAGTAACACATCATCTAAAATCTCAAGTTTTTACAGCAGATGACCGTATTAACAAGGTATCAAAGTAAGAGATTCTGTGTTCAAATCTCATCGTCACATCCTCCAGCAATTTGAGCACTAAAATTGTCTAATAACTAAATCACTTGTGGAAACAATTTGCCATTATAACTCAGATCTTGAGAATTCAAGACATTGGAATTAGACATATGGGTCAATCAATGCATTCCCACTTTTGCACCTTAAAAACCAGATCATTGAAAAGGCTGTTGTTATATTCTGTATATGAAGTCTACATTGGGGAATGAATGTACTAGACATTTAATTTTTGGGTCCCTCGTGTAGCTGGAGCCACTGATACAGGTGTGGACAAAGATGAATGACAGTGGCACATGAGATGAACACAGCCTGGACTTTAATACAACACTTGCATTGTCTAGGCCAGAAGGTATGCTACCTAAAATAGACCAACAATAGAAGGTAAACACAATGTACAAAATTATGAATGCAAAGAGGATATGTGAATTATACAGGACAATTGGTCATTTGTGAATGTGGTGGACGACCAATAAAAGACGTTATCACTGATTGAAACCGAAATATTTTCTCTCAATTTCACTTATTAGGGTAGATTGCGGATCCTCACTATGTATGAGAAGGCCCCACTTATGAGTTATGGTTCTACTTCTCCCTATATTTGTTGTACTCGAAAAGAAACATTTTCANATATATTTTCTCTCAATTTCACTTATTAGGGTAGATTGCGGATCCTCACTATGTATGAGAAGGCCCCACTTCTGAGTTATGGTTCTACTTCTCCCTATATTTGTTGTACTCGAAAAGAAACATTTTCAAAACACCTACCTCCGACTGGTAATTGATGAACCACATGTGGCAGAAGTGGTCCAGAGGGCCAAATTCAATTTAAGATATAAGGTTACTTTGCTTTGTGTTAATAGAGTGTCAATGATTAGCTCCGTTCTTAATCCAACTTGGTAATTTTGGATACGATGTGCGAATTCCTCACAAAATCGACATAGAATTAGATGATTTGTACTTAATCTTATTAGGTTTAGATGAAAAATGGATAGACCTGCTAAATAAATGAACCGATAGGAATCCGATAAGGCACGACACAAACCCTCTTAATATGACTTATACACACATGATACACGAGACGAACTCAACTATATACGATTATAAATGAATAGAATATGGGTTAAATAAAATTTGAACCAAAACACAGCACTAATACAACCAGAACCGATGACAGTCCTAAATCCATCTTCTTCCAACCCAGTTCAAGACCCAGGGGAGGGGAGGAGGGAATTGACTGTATTGTCACCTACCCAAGCACTTTTGACCACACCCATATAATTATATGTGGTTAAACTACTACAAATGAAATCCAAGGAATGCAAAAAAAAAAAAAAAAACAATTATAAATAGATAGATAAAGGACCAACAATTTGCAAAATCAATAAAGAACTTACAGTTAGTTGCCTTGGGAGGATTTAGAACTTTGATGGCAATAGAATCAATCAATGGTCCACAAGCTGGATCCTCCTCCTTTCCTGGATTGTGAAGTAGGACCTCTATAACATCAAACAATGCTTGAAATGCCCAAGCATACGAGTCCCATCCATTACTACTATACAATGTTTGAATTGGTAACACCCCAAAGTCTGGTGCCACAGACACATTCAATGTCTCCTCTTGAGCACAGGTTCGAGCCGCGGTAAACGTAAGGGAATAGCGCATTCCCTTTGTTACTGCCATTCTTTGCTTGATTGATGCCTCGTTGCCTAGCCGAACCGCGGCCGCTCCCTCCGGCACTACCAGCAACATGTCACCCTGTTTTTGGCCCGCCTTTATGTACTCCACGAACCCCGAAATTTCCCATTCCGGTATGCCATGGGGGTTTATCACCTCCGTGCCTTTCAAGTCCGAGGACTTGGGACTTAACTCGAAGTTGCCATTGTTGAACATTCCTGCATTCAAAGGGATAAAAAAATAAGAGCAATGCTATATCATCAACATTTATTGGGATCGGTTGAAATTATCAAATCTAATTTTTAAATTTATATAACATTACTCAAAAAATAATGGGTTTAAGTATGTCAATTGCTNGGGCAATGCTATATCATCAACATTTATCGGGATCGGTTGAAATTATCAAATCTAATTTTAAATTTATATAACATTACTCAAAAAATAATGGGTTTAAGTATGTCAATTGCTACCAAAATTAATTCAAATTTTCTGCCCGTCTTAAATTTTGAAGAAAATTGGGCATTTATGAAATGAAATGAAACGAATGAGTTATTATTACAATCTTTGTGAAAGAAAGACGGGTTTTATGTCTTCCTGGCAAAATGTCAGTGACTGTTGTTTGGTACACTGATTCCTAATTAANATTTTAAAGAAAATTGGGCATTTATGAAATGAAACGAATGAGTTATTATTACAATCTTTGTGACAGAAAGACGGGTTTTATGTCTTCCTGGCAAAATGTCAGTGACTGTTGTTTGGTACACTGATTCCTAATTAATGTTTGACTCTGTTTTTTTGGTTGGGTTCGAATGTGACTGTGACATATGTGTGAGGGGTTAGTTATGACAATTCACAGGATCATCAGACCCAGCTCTACTACATTGCCCCCATACAAGATTTATTCACAACCATCTAAATATATGAGAGGTTGAATTCCAACTTCCCCAGATTCAAATCCAGAAAAAAATACTCTAAATAAGAAGAAAAGAATTCAATCCTCAGTGGATATNGGCCATTTCCTGCTTGCCCAGGTTCACATCATCAGACCCAGCTCTACTACATTGCCCCCATACAAGATTTATTCACAACCATCTAAATATATGAGAGGTTGAATTCCAACTTCCCCAGATTCAAATCCAGAAAAAAATACTCTAAATAAGAAGAAAAGAATTCAATCCTCAGTGGATATCACATGGTTTAATAAACAATTAAAACTCTTTCTCGTTAAACACATAAATAGAGAAACTAGAGAGTTAACAACAAAAGAATGAGGAGAACCGAAGCAAAATGAAAACTAAGGATATGATGAGGAACTTCTCTGCATAAGCTTACCGTCTTTGAAGGCTATGGCGATGTGGCAAGTGGCGCACAGGAGCACCGACACTATGGCTATTGCTTGCATTTTCGAAATTCTCTGCATTTTTTAGAGTGTTTGAGAGAGAGAGAGAGAGAGAGAGAGAGAGAGAGAGAGAGAGAGAGAGAGAGAGAGAGTGCAATGTGCTTTGAGAGTACTGGTGCCTGCGTTGGCTTATATGCATGCGAGCCTCTGCATATGACCTGGGATTTTAGTGTTAATAACAGTATTGCCATTCATGACTGCAAGTTCACATGGGGGTCTTGTAATGACAACTGTGCCCCTCTCCTATTTTATATTCGTGAGGGGTTCTATATTTGGAACCCACTCTCTCTCTCTCTCTCTCTCTCTCTCTCTCTCTCTCTCTCTCTCTCTCTCTCTCTCNGCCATTCATGACTGCAAGTTCACATGGGGGTCTTGTAATGACAACTGTGCCCCTCTCCTATTTTATATTCGTGAGGGGTTCTAAATTTGGAACCCACTCTCTCTCTCTCTCTCTCTCTCTCTTGGTGCGAGGTTGAAGACAAAAGCTGTTGAAGGTCACATGGTTTTCATCTCCAACCTAGGTGCAAAAGCATCAATGAGACTAGGACAAGCCCATGACACACTTCTAGCTTTTATTATGTTAGATTTAGTTGAAGGGCAATTTCGCCATAAACGCTATGTTATGTTTCAACTTTCAATTCTCACAATAGGATCGGCCTTTTGAATTAACTAGCATGCCAGAGAAGGATTAGTCCACGCCACCGAGTGGGGTTGGCCGTCGAACTTTTCACTTGACCATTATTTTAGTCTAATTAGATTCGTTCGTGACAGGAGTAATGAGCTTGGTCAAGAGTTTTATGATCCCACCAATACGAACCTATCAAAATGATTTCTGGGTGCTCTCTTTGTCCTCACCCTTTCTTTCAATAGCCACAAAAAAAGAAAATACAAACTATGTACATTTTATCTAATTGGATTTTTTGATTATCAAGGGTGTTGAGAGGAAAGATCTAAAGTATATAACTGATTTTTAACATTATTCTCACAAAATGATTGGTCTCAAATTTAAACTCAAAATCTCACGATTGTTTAGCCAACACTTCAATTACTACACTAACCACTAGTCTTCATGTTGTAGTCACATGACACAAACATGCCCAAAATTACACAAGGCCAAGACTTTTGGGATCAAGGCCAAGGTAAACTACGAAACGATGCATTATTGAACACTTTGCATGATACTCTTGTTTTAACCATTGAGGTATATTTTAAAGTCATCCATGCCTAATACGAGAGATGCCTAATATTTTATTAGTGTTGTGTAGGCAGTAAATAACACAATATTTTTATTTTCACAATAATCCAAAAAATAATTATTATTAGGTGTGAATCTTACTTTTAAGTTGACTTAAAATCGTTATTTGATTTGATATTAGGTTTTTTTTGTTTTGTTGTTTTGTCCTTTTTACTATAATAACATAATGATAGTGTTCTTGAAAATTCAACCTTGGTGGGATATGGATGATTCTCTAAGGAATATCACTAGACTGTGAAAGCATGTGATCTAAAGTTGCTTAGGGTCTAAAGTTCCTTTTCCATTGCTACAATCAATGAAACACATGCAAAAGGAGTTGTCTTGCCCTTATAGCTTTTTAAGATCTTATGACTTGTCATTCAAATTAAATTTGATGAATAACAAAATCATTTGATCTCTCATTGGAGTGTACACGGAATGTACTTGAAACAATCGTGTTATATGTCGATTTAAGGTTGTAGGGTGACCATAAAATTGTATTTAGGTGTCAATATGTTGATTTAAGGGTTGGACAAATCATGTTTGTGGTAATCACATAAAAATTACCTTTCACTAAGTTTTGTAAATTTAGATAATGACGATAGTAGTTATTATTATTGATTCTGTTTGTCGGAGACTCATTTGCATATATATATATATATTAGGTTTGATCTAGATTCTCAATGAATGATCTAAATCATTTCATTATCCGAACCATTTTATTTAGAGTTGAATTTATGTTAACGTACAATTAAGTACATGGCGATCAAACATGTTTGAAAGGTCGACCCAATTATAATTTACAACCATTAAGGTTAAATAAAAACTCATGAATCTTTGTGTTGGTTTAAAAAATTACTAACACAACACTTTCTAATAGAATAATTTTATAATAATATTATGATAATTCATATCTATGTTGTGACAATCTTATTAAACCCTTAATTTATCAAATGGGTCTCCTTCATTTTCACATGATCAACCTCATTCAATGTCATGATTTTTGTTGAAAATGAGATGCGACAAAGACTCTCATTTAGGAGCCATCGCTACAATAAATTTCTTTTTTAGCGACGAGTTTAACGACGAATAATAAAATTTGTTGTAAAAAAATGATTTTCGGTGACAATTTTAAATGTTTGTCGTGGTAAATTTTTTGTAATAGTTTTTGCGACCATTTTTTTTGTGGTCGTAGCCAATATTCTTTACAAAAACGTTCCCTCCAAAAAAAAATTGGGGCCAATGTTGGAGCTAAATGCTAATTTTATGGGTGACAAAAAAAATTGTCGCCAAAATAATTTTTCGGTAGCAAAATTTTTGTCAAATAACTAAAAATAAGAAAACAAAAAAGATAATACTTAGCGACAATATATGCTTGTCGCAGAAAAAAAAGTTAAATTTTTTTTTTGTTTGACGACAATTTATATTTGGTCGCAGAATATTATTACAAGAAAAATATTTTACTGCGACGACTTTTTGCGACGTGTAAGAAAAATTGTCGCAAAAAAAAGACATTCTACGGGTTGTGTTTGGGTAAGACTTGTCAAACTGTTTATCACACGTTTACCCGTTTAAATAAAATTAATATAATAATAAATAAATAATTATTTTTAAAAATTAGCCAAAAAAAGGATGTCAAAAAATCAATAAAAAAAAAAAGTAAAACAGTAGTTCAAAGACGAAATAAGAGAAGATGAAGAGTAGTTCAAAGACAAAGACAAACCAATGTCTTTTGCTTTTGTCCCACATCGGCAAATGAAGTGAGATGAGAAAGTCTGACTTGTTTATAAAAGACAGTGACCTCTTGCCTTTTTTTTTTAACCTTAAAGTTTGATTTTTATGTAAGATTTAACTAGAAATTTCTCTTTTTTTAAGTAAGTACAATTGACAGTAAAAAAAAAAGAGTATTAAAATTTGATGATATAATTTTTTTAAAATTAAACGGGTTAAACGAGTTATGTCGTATTATCTGTTTATAAAATTTATTAATTTGTTATTTGGCGTCGAAAATATGTTAGTCGCAAAAAAAAATACCTTAATTTTTAGCGACAAATATTATGTCATCATTAAAGAGAAAAAATATGATCATAATATAATTTCTTTCGGCGACTAAGATTTTTTTGTGACAAGTAGATGAATTTTTAAGCGACTAAATTTTTTATCACTGATAATCTATTTTAGGGATGATATTTTAGTTGGTTGTCAAAAACTTTCAGTGGCGAGCCTGATGCTACAAATTGGCAACCAAATTTTTTTGTTGCAAAAAATTTTTAGCGGCGAATTATTCACTTTTAGCGNTATATTTTAGGTTGAAATTATGTGATGAGGGTAAAACGGGTAATAAAAACACACTAATTGTCTAACCCCTATATGTTCGCGCCCACACAGGAACCACATGCAATTTTTTTAAAAATGCGAAAGATTGTTTTATATATTAAAAATCCAATAAGACTAAAATTAGTTTACACACTAAAAAATGGACCTAGCCTAATAAGCTAAAAAGAAGAGAGAAACAATATACATTCCTGTAAAATTAAATGACTCTAATGCCCCTACTGTTTACAACATTCCAAAATAGCTACTAGGCATTTCATTCCCTTCTTGGTTTTTAATTATACATTTTTTGGAGTGTGTGTAGTTTTCAATTTGGCTTAATCTGATTGCCTATCCATGAACATCTCAATCAGGGATTAGTTTTCAAGTATGATCTCCTATGTCTCCTTTCCAGGGATTTGATCATGCTCTTATTTGTCCCCCACTTTGAGGATCATATTTTATTATTTTTTGTAATTATTTTCTATTTTATTGTAACAACGATTTGATTATCAATAATGTTATTTAGACAAAATTTGTTCATATAATTCATAGCAACAAATTAAATCTAAGTAATATTACTCTTTGTTTATATAATATTATAATAGAGTCAATTTGCACTAATAATAATGGTCCACCGGTGCATATCAAAAAACAAGATGTTTATAGAGTGCAAGAAGTATCAATTATGAATAAAAAAAATTCATAGTTCACATTTAATAGTAGGGTCATTAAAGTAATAAAAATATTATTTGTGTACCTAGTTTAAGTTTAAAAATGAATTTCATCTAATATTAAAACTCATAGCTAATTTAATGACTAAGATGAATTTGGTCAATGTAGTATTAGTCAAAAAATAATGTTTGCCTAAGTACCATTTTCATTCTATTCCAAAAGTTAAATGACCAAAACACCCCTATAAAAATATAACGCAACAAACACTTATTATTTTCTATATTTCNTCTAAAAAGCTAAGTCATCGTAATGTATCTTCTTCTCCATAAATATAATTCGTCAGACAAATATACTAAAATAAGATGATATGTTCTCGAATAATGTATTCATTAATTGGTGGTTCACTGGTACATTAAGATACATTTACTAATAGTAGTTGAATTCAGTGTATCTACGAAATAGATACATTGAGATGAGACGTTTGGACAGATGTCTCTTCAAATAACTATCCAATTAACACCATAATAATAGACAACACTATAAAACCCTCAATAACAAACCCAAAAAATAAAATTAACTATATTTTAGGTTGAAATTATGTGATGAGGGTAAAACGGGTAATAAAAACACACTAATTGTCTAACCCCTATATGTTCGCGCCCACACAGGAACCACATGCAATTTTTTTAAAAATGCGAAAGATTGTTTTATATATTAAAAATCCAATAAGACTAAAATTAGTTTACACACTAAAAAATGGACCTAGCCTAATAAGCTAAAAAGAAGAGAGAAACAATATACATTCCTGTAAAATTAAATGACTCTAATGCCCCTAC